AAAAAAAAAAAAAAAAAAAAAAAAAAAAAAAAAAAAAAAAAAAAAAAAAAAAAAAAAAAAAAAAAAAAACAAAAAAACTGGTGAATTTAAAAGAAAACAAACATTATTGCCTGCTACACATTCGGTGATTTCCGTAATTCGAGCCACCATGAATGATCTATTCAATAGTTGACTGGAAATCTTGTCCGTGATTCGTAAATAATGATGCGGGTAGTTAATATTAAACGCGGACCAAGCGGCACAAGTGACACTGCGAGTTGGCAGAAAGAGTGCAAGATCTCCCATCTTGAAACTGAAAAATTGATCATTATAAAATTTCCTGCTAGTAAAAAGTATCAAAAAAAAAAAAAGTTTACTTACTTTTTGAAAGAAATCTTTTCTTTTAGGTCTTGACTAACTTTTTTGTACTTATCTATAATTAAAAAATCAAGAGGTTCAATTCAATGGTCAAGCATAAAAGAATTATGCAAACAGAAAATGCATGCCTTTATACAATCTAGCATCTTTTTGGTACTTCTTGTACAAGGCCTCGGCATCAGCAGACGTCTTCCTTATCATAGACCGAACCTCTTCCAAATTTACCTTTGAAGTTAAAATAATCAAGGTTTCATACCGATCTCTCGGCCAACCCAGATCATCCACGTAATCACTCGCAAAGAATTTGCCCAGGTCCTCGGCATGATAACTATCCGATAAACTTTGTTCCGGCGATTTAATTTGACCATCCTTATCCTCACCTACCGTCGAAGGCTTAATTATGGGTCGACTTTCGGATTTCACCGGTATGGCAAACTCACGATCCCCCATCATTGTTCGAATGTTATGATAATAATTCCACAGTTCCCTACTGAGAGAACGGGAAAATTCCGTTCGTTCTTGTAATTCTTGACGCAACCCTGCAAGAACTGATCTCAAACTTGAACCCTCGGACGTGGAATTCTCTAATGACTGCACATTTTTTTTAAAAGGGAAGATCATAAATTAGTAAACATAATGGCATTTCCTATCACCAGAAACCGGTTTATAAATAAATACCTCTCTCGTTTTAATTAATTCCGCATCCAAATATTTCGTAACATCGTTGATCCTTCGAACCATTTTTATGAGGCTTAATTCAGTATTCAATTCCTCCTTAAGAAATCAATATATAATTTTAAAACATTTGTAATTCGATTTGTGTAATAAATTTGTATTCCATTTTATTTACCTTCTCAGAATCCAATGAAATATACTTCATTACTATTGGCATGCATTCCAATGTAATTTCAGTTGCATTTTTGACTATATCTTCCGTCTTTAAAATAATAATAAAAAAAAAAAGAGATTTTAACTAATAGTTAATATAAAGAGTAGGGAATTCATGAATGAAAGCTCACTTTTTCCAGGGCTTTCATCGTTTCCAAATTTTCCAACTCTACATGCTTGACCCTATCGCGTGACTATATTTTTCAACATCGATTTTAAAAATGACTTTGTTATACTAAGAAGAAGTAGATGAGTAACCACAAATACCTTATCAAGCGCGATTTGTAATTCTTCACGTGCTGTATTCATTTTATCCAATGTTTCCTTCCATCCTTCAACTTCTTGGTGCATCTGAAAAAGTAATTAAATTAGCGTTGAGTAAAATCGCGTGATAGAAAAAATTTTTTTTCGAAACCACCGCTCACCATTTTTTTTTTATCATCGTATTCCTTGATGATTTTGTCTTTCTCTTGCATAGCTTGCTCAATCTACAAAATTACAGGAATACGATATTACCAATTTCAGATAATATTTGTTAGATGGCAACATAACATATATTAAATTATCAACAACAAACCCTTAATGCATAGTCTTCAACCAATTTTTTGTTGTTATCATGCTCACTCCTTAATGAATTCAGTTCCAAAACTTTTTTCTCGCATTCTAATTCTGCATCTTGCAATCTTTGCTTGAAAGATTTGAGTTCCTCTGTCTGCCTATTCTCAAGAGTGCTTGCCGAAGTGTTGCTGAGTTCGAGCTCTTTGTTAAGATTTTGGAGTTTCGTGACTATCACCTCTAGTTCGCCGCATTGCGCGGATAATGAATCATGTTCTATTTGAAGTTCATTGTGCCTTCTACCCATGTCGGACAGTTCATTAGAGGAATGTGAATATAATGTCTCCAACTCCTTTAGTCTTGATTCCAACGACGCGTTTTTATCAACAACCTCGGAATAAGATGATTGCACAGACTGGTGATTTTTCTCTAAATCCAAAACTTTCTTCTCCAGGATTTCGTTTTCTCTTAATACTTTCTCATGTGAATTTGCTAATACTTTATATTGAAAATCCAGTTCACTATTACGGTTCTTTAAAATCTCCAGCTCCCGAATAGCTTCATTATATTTGTTTGATAAATTTTGAAAGTCTGTTTTCGAATCTGGCAATTTTTCGAATTTTTTTTCGCGGGGTTCGGCGGAACTGTTATGGCGTAACGGTTCCAAAGATTCTTTCTCCATTGTCAATGATTCTGGGTTCGAAATTCCGGGTTTTGAGGTGGTGGCAACAACCGAGCCCTTTGAAGCCTTAAAATTAGTCTGCAACAAATTTTCAAGGTTTTTGATCCGAGCCTCGTATGCCTATTGTACCATTTGATGGTTCGTCGAAGAATCAATAATTTTATTACAAAATACTTGCCGGAGGACCATAAGAATTATTGAAATACCTTTACTTTCTCCTCAGCCACGTCCAATTGTTTCATCTTTTCAACAAGAAGATCGGTGCCAATTGTTGCAACGCTGTCCTCAGAGAAGCTTTGCCTTGAGCGTCTTGACCCTTTAGGCGATGGAAACACGCTCTTTGAAGATAATAAACGGCCTATCGTTCATCGAAAATAGAATAAATCGCAAAGATGCATTGCGTTTAAAAATGATAATTTAGATTCGGAAGCAAGTCAATTACCGTCATTGATAAAACGAAGGCGAGACATTATGTTAGCATTATCCGTCGCAGGTTTTTCGAAGAGTGCTAGATAGGGTATTAAAGTTTATGAAATTTATGGTGGTAATGTTCGCCATTCGGAACAAAAATAAAAATAAACATTTGAATTATAGGCGACTTACAACTCTTCTCTACAATATTTTCGAATTCCATGTTCATTCCTTCAATCTGGCCAAATAATTTTACTAAATTTGATTGCAAAGTTGACAATGGATCAATGTTCGACGACTGTTGTATTCGAACTTTTGACGTCGATAATGAAAAGGTGGGTCGAACAAGGGAAGCATGCGACATAACGGCTGGGCGTATTTGATCAATCAAGTTCAAGAACACTTTGAATTAAAAATGTATATATACGTATGGATATGGAATTTAGACAACAGCACTTTCATTAAATTCCAATAAAGAGAGGTCATTATAAAACACAACGCTACATTGTATATCTTCTTTAGAAAAAGATGGTAGTTGGTCATCATTCATATTCACAGCGGATATCTCACACATGGGAGGACTGTTATCTAAAGCTAGAAATAAATTCCGTGTTGATTGCTCACGTGCAAGATAAATTACGGGCATATACAACGAAAAGAATAAAGATACCTGGAATTTTTACCGGAATGTATTTTTTGACGTTCAAACGATATTTATCACGCCGTTTTTGTTCCAAATCTCGAAAGTGAGCCATGACTTCCGCTAATTGCTGTGACTTAGCAAGCAAAAGCTAACATAAGTAGAAAAAAAATTCATCAGGTGTCACAAATCATATTTAATAAAACCTCTAAATTCAACTTTTACCCACCAGAATTACAACTACATACTTTGCTATATTCTTTCCTCCTCACTATTTCTACCAGAGTCATGGCCTGTATTTAGATCATTACCCAGATAACATTATATATTGACTCGTAGGGAAGAAAAAGTCAAATAATTATAAAAAACAGCAAAATTTATATTTACGTAAGCAGACGGTATTTGGTGTACATGAGCCAAAAGCTTATAATCTTGTGCCATGGCTTGAACTTCCTCGTCGAGACGGCTCAATTTGCCAGGAATAGATGCGATAATGGACTCGAGACGCGATATTTGTTGAAGATTGGATATTAACGTCGACGTTGTAGCGTTCTGAGTTGAAGTCCATAGGTTAGATTCGTAATCGAATTCATGAAATGGAAAACAAATGATAGGCTTAAATGGCATACCTTGGATTTCACGAAATAAATCGCTTGTTCACGTATGTAATCATCCAGTTTTTTTATCTCTTTAATAATCCACAAACGACAAGATATCAATAACTAAGACATCGATATATTATAAACATACATTAATTATTACCAGGAAAGTACTCCTTCAGTTGATAATTGGCCAGATTTTCCATCGCTTCGATAGGTTTTTCAAAATCTACATTTCCTTTTGACTGCACCAATTTAGCCACCTGTCCTTGCACGCGAGTCAAACCTAAATGTAAAAAATATGTCACGCAGGAAAATAAAGAAACCAATTGTGCTTTCCCATGCGAAAACGTTCATTACCTTTTTCCAAATTCCTCGCGTGCTGCCTGATTACGTCGCAACACGCTTTATTACGTTCCAATATCGTTTCCATATTTGTAAGTCTAATTAAAAAAAAAAAAAATCCAAAAATGATGCACCAAGATTTGTCAAAACAGCCAGGTCACATGGATATAATAAGAAACATACTCGCTATTGAAAGTCTTTTTCCTCAGTGCATCTGTACCTTGCTGGACCGATTGAACTTCAATATTCAGTTCGTTAACCTCCCTAGAGAGTCGCCCTAATAAGACAAACATGATAAATACACAATTCAAATATACTCACGATCTAATTTAGAGAATTAATTTACAAACCGATCGCCTCGATTCCCTTACTAGCCAATGCCATAAGCTTATCCTCTAATATAAAATCTGCCAGTACACATGACTCCTTGTTTTTTATGACGCTATTATCGTTATCGGATTGTATTTTAGGATCTATAGTAATACGCTTAAGAATTTCCATATTTGCTGGGAAACTAAAAGTTTGAACAAAATAATTTATTAAGTTCAATATACCCTAACCACAGTTAATCTCAATAAACAGATTGAGTATAATACCTTTGAATGAAAATTTCATACTTGGTGACTTCTTTTTCCGCAAATTTGTGAAATGAATTATGATGATCGACAACAGAGCTACATGAAAATCGAGTTGGTTAAGAGACATTAATAGGTCAAATAGCATACATCATAATTCTTACCAACAATGTTTCTTAAGATTCAACAAAGCGACATCCAATGCTTCTAGTTGCGCCTTTTGTTCCTCATATAACCGTTCGCATATCTCGGAGTGAGTGATGGCCGTCTTCAGGAAAGACTGTTTAAAACGAAAAAAAAAAAGATATGAAATAAACACAGCTTATCTGCATAACATTGATAGACTCAATTTGCACATGATCTCCACCTGCCCTTGCGAGTGATGCATTTGAAACATATTAGCATAGGCACCAAGTTCATCAGAAATACTGAGACGAACTCTAGTATTTTGTTTGGGCGATGGCACTGAAATTAACACAAATCATTAGTTCAGATAAAGATGGATCGATCAAGTGGTATTAAACTTATAGAAAAATAATTAAAATAAAATCAATAATTCTTATAAAATTACCAATCACTTGAGGTTCTAACGTAATATTTTCAATGAGGGAACTTGCGCTATTAATATCGCCCGAATTACTCGGATCAAGAGAGTCTCTATTAAATTGAAATATTACATATTCGTCCTGAATAAAGTACGTAATAAGTAAGAAGCCTAGTAATGTCGATCTAAAAATTTATGCAATCCGAATAAGAGTTACCCTGCCAGAAACTCGAATCGCCTCGTTCAATATTTCAGCTTTAAGTTCTAATCCTTCTTGCGTCATCAAAATTTGCGAAGCTTCCGGAATCCCGGTTAAAGTTTCAAGCTCTGATTTGAGATCATCTAGGCTGTGTTGATTGTTTTCAAGTAAGTAAATAAAAGAAATGTTCAATCCTACATCTATCTACTCCGATTTTTGTAAAGCTGCTTAATAAACTTAAAAATAGTGGATTCTCGCTTCCTTAAAATCTTTCTTAAATTTGTATCTCTGATGTGATCAGAAACTAAAACAAACTTATGGAAGAATTCTGTTTTTCGCCATACCTATCGATAGTTCTAAGAATTTTAACAAGTTTTCCTGTTTCCGCGCGAAATACCTTCATTTCGACCATGTATGTTAAAAAGTAAACTACAAAACTCCAAGTTCAACTGTCTGATTGGCGCGTCCCGCCGAAAATTAGATATTCTAATATAAATTAGTTGACCTGACTCGTTTTCAAAAAAGAATGAAAGTACTAAAAGTGAAATGGCATCGAGGGAGTTCATTGTACTTCTATTTATATTAGAGTACGTCATCCAATGCGTCATAGCTTCGAGAACTAGTATGGCGCAGACTTGTCATGTGCCGAATATCAAATAATCGATAAGATAATCATCTGACTTGCATTTAAGCGATTGTTTTAGGAAAGAATCAAATGTGTGTTTCACGAAAGTCACATAACAAATAGATTGTCTTTTGTTTATATATACTATATATGTAAGGTATTTGAACACAAACAATCTACTATATTATAAAAATTTTTTTTAAAATAAAAAAAAATCGCAAATGAGCATTAAATGCGGGTTTTTATTATAATGTATAACCCATTAAGCCAGGTCAATAAATTACTTAATACAATTAATACAAAATATATTCAAGTATTATATGCATATAGGATTTAAACTAAACTAAATCTTTTATCAACAAACTTATTTTAAACAAAGTTTTTGAGTAAGCTTAATCAAGGAAATAATATAACAATTCATGAATACTTTAAACGAATACCTTCCTAATAACTTATATCAAATCAATTATTAAATTATTTATTTTCTATGATATTAAATAAAATAAAATATAAAATAAAAATATAAGTTATATAAATTATATATATATAGTTTGAAGTAAAATTTTTTATCTTTTTATTTTTTATTATAATTTAATGAATAATTATTTAAGTTTTAATAATAATTAATTGATAATTTTATTTTATAAATTTGATTTAAAAAAATAATTAAAAAAATTTTTTATATAAATTTATATATATAAATTTATATATAAAAGTAGTTGGAATATAAATTTTTTACTAAAAATTAAAAAACTCTTTCCGCTGATCCTTTGACCACACACAAAAAAGATGTTCGCAAAAAGTTTTTTTACTTTTTTGCTAATAAAGTCTTAATACTATCATTAAAACAACTTAGAGTATGACTCCAAAAGTCACTTCTACACTTTCCCTCTTGTTTACAAATCTTTTCACTCAAAAACTGGACTTCTAGTGACCAAGAAAAGTCAAGTAATACCTTTGATACCAATGGCAAGAAAGTTC